ATTTTCCAATAGAATCGTTCTTCTGAAAAAATCATGATTTTTTTCCCTACCATCATGAATCATCAAGTGTTGGCCAGAATTAAGTCACTTCAAAGGTTTCTAAACTGTGTCGGGAATCTTAATCAAGACAAAGACGACGACAAGGCTGACATTTGAACACTTCTGAGAACATACTTTTATATAGAAAGGAAAAAAGATGCCCACAGAGAGTGTGGTCATTTGATCAGTTAAGCTTTGGGGTCCCCAGGCCCAGCTCTGCTCCGCTCCTGCTGCCACACTATGAGACTAGACCTACTCTATGAGGCTAGACCTACATTTCGCCCCATTCAAACCTACAAGATGGTGTAGCTCTAGCTTGCTGTGGTCTAGTCCAGACCCTCAGACACAGTTAAAGTTCAGCGTCTTGTTGCTGTGAATCCTTTCTTGAAGGACGTGGCACGGATCTGGGTGGCAGTTTCAGTTTATCCCACTCTTAGGCTTGGGACTCCAGGAGTTGGGGGATCTGTTTGGGCCTTGATGGAGGGAACATTACGAAACATACCACACGATCCTGTTCCTTGTGTGAAAGCTGAAGGGGAAGGTTCTCCTGAATTTGCAGTCACTAGAGAGGCTAGTGGAGATAACTGGACATCAAAACACAGAAGGAACAACTTCATGTTCGCAGTGGGGAGAGGTGCCCAACGCTAACGGCCCATCCTGTGTTCACGCAGTCCTAGAAGCTCTAAGGCCCCAAACAGAGACGGCAGAGGGAGAGGCACATCCCAGCGGAGCCGCGAGTCTGTGCCGAGAGAGCGCACTGTCGCCTCCTAACGGGTACAATTGCTGTAACTGCTAGGGTCCTCCGGGTCAGGCGTTCAGCTGAGTGCCTCGTGCTCCGCGATCCCCAAATCTGGGAGGCCGTGACCCTGTGTTCCGGAGACTCCGTAGACATCTGACTTTTCAAAGTACAGATTACATGCAGAACCAGGTTGTGTGTCAAGCTACTGAAGCTGAGCCGGCAGCAGCATGAAGTCAGGAACTACACAGTTAGAGCCCTGAGAACTCAGGTGCCCTCCCTGGCTGCTCCTCCTCGCCAGTGGCTGAGAGCGTGTGAACAGAACCGCCAAACGAGCGAGTGTGATGAACACAAGGATCCTTCCTTCAGCCAGGGCCCCGCACCAAGGACAGCTGGCTTGGAGAGTCGCCAGGAGGCTTACCAGGCCGGAGTATGCCTTTGCATGGAATGAAAACCAAGCTTTTCTTGTGGGCGGTGAGGGGACTTGGAACTCTAGCTTAACCTATCCAAATACACCATTTGATTCAATGGAAAAAGTAACATCATAAAACTCAAAACTGGGGGTGTGGGGTGTGGAGGAAAAACCCCGACATTTGATGGCACAGGGGACAGTCACATGCTGACACTCCCGTTGTCACTGTTTGTTTGTTTTGTTTTTTTCTGAAGTACACCCTGTGCATTAAGGAAGGGGTAAGGCACTCGGGAAGCAGTTTCTTACAGAGACCAGGGCCCCGCTTGGCTTTGACTTTTAATCCTGTGGTAACGGCAAACGAGTGGAGCAATGTTTCCATCGTGGTTTCACCCAAACTCTCCAAACCAGAAGGGAAAAGTTCTATTGCCAACATGGCTGGCCTGAGATGCAAGCAAGGACGCCCTGTGAGGTCTCAAGTTACACGTTCAACACGAGACCGTTGCTACTTGGGTCTCCTGTGCCAGGCCACTAATCGAATGCAGGCACGCTCACCCACCCTCCTAACCAGCGCAGGACCGAGACCTCTCCTAAGCGCTTTCATCTGCAAGGATGGTCTCTTCTGGAAATGTGGGAGTTAATGGAGACAGTGAGCTCCACGGAACTAGAAATGCCACAAGCCATTCTGTGGTCATTTGGCAGAATGAGCATGTTTCATACATGACACCAGAAAGCCTGTTATTTTCTCTAAGTCACCCTTACAAATCAGCCTATTTAATACTAGAAGTTAAGGCCTTCCTTTAGAATTAAAGAGAAAAGAAAGCCAGCAAAATATACTGGCTTATATTATACTGGCTTATTATACTTAGCATAGTTCCTTCCCCCTCAAAGACAAAACCTCTCCAAGAAACAGAAACACACACATTGCTGGCCAGAGGCAAAGATAAGTATGTCTGAAGGTAAACCCGCTGTTGATTCCATACACACACAGGATAATCCTTCCATGCTGTTTAAATTCCTTAACCTGATCACGACTGGGGAATTCCGTACCTGATGTGCACGATCTGATAATTCTGGGCGGTGTTCCTTCAAAGTTTCTTTTAAAGACTTAGAGTTGAAACCGCTGCTGGATAAGCTTTGCAAATTGAAGAAAAACACATCCCTACTGGAGTTAAAATTGTGCATTAGTCCAAGGCCACCGGTGTTAGTGTCCGTGGTGGCTTGAGATCCATAGAGCACAGAGTGGGGAGCAGCATTAGTCTGGGGAGTCCAGCTGCGCCCCCAGGAATGTGCTTGGCCTCCCAAAGATGAGTGTGTTCGGGCAGGGGAGGGACACGAGAGCCTGCTGTGCCCCAGCCACAGGCAGGCCTACAACTCAAGTCATGCCCAGATCCAGGTTCACAGACACAGGAAAAGCAGGTGCTGGCTGCTGCCCAGACTCCTATCTCTTCTTGGGGCCTCCCAATGGTTTCCATGGGGGGACAGGGAATCTCTAACCCTCTCTTGTGTACTCCCGTGTCATCGGGTCCTGTGCTAACTCACTGTGCTGGGTTCATGGCAGGCAGGGGCGAGTAGACATTTTACAGATACAGAAGCCTCCCGTAGCGGTTAGTGACTTGTGATCACATAATAGACTAACATGGAAGGCAAAGTCAGAGCGGACTTCCAAATTGGAAACACCCCTCCATCCCCACCCCACCCCGGCACCATCCTATCCCTAGCTATTTAAAAATAAGGTATGCTCATTACTAGACAAAATGAATTTTGAAACACCTAAAACACAACTGCCAACATTTATCACACTCCGTTTTTAGCAGCTTTGGTGTCTAATTTGATGGCTACCCTGTCCTACAGAAGACCTGGGCGTCCCCTGCGGAATGGATGAATTAACACACTTGCACACACCAGGCATTTAACTCAGATAGGCTGCCGGGCTTGCAATGTTTGGCCCAAGGCTTATAGCTTTCCCCAACAGTCTAAGGGCCTTGAAGTGTACACACTCTTGAAACTCACTCAGTGGCCAGGATCTGCTTGGAAGGCTGTGCTTGAGCACCTGGAGTATAGTATGGGCTCCAGTCCTACGACTTGGAGGGACACACTGATGAAGCTTCTCCCAAGTTCCAGGGCCTTTCGTTTTGAGGGAGCGACCGACTGAGTCAGTTCTAGAGTTCTCACTAAGAAAAGACTAGTGGGAAGGGAGAAGCTAGAGCTGCTCCTCCATGGGAAGGGAAGCCTCTCTGGGGAGGGCACACAGGTCCTACTCATGGGTGGCTGCATCTGGCTGCAGGAGGCAAGGGAACACAGCAGGGACAGCACTGGGTCTGCAGGAGAGCCTGATCACTGCCAACAGCGTCCTCAAAAGGCTGATGTCTTCTCTTTCCTCCCTCCCTCTTCCCAGACAGTCTTCATGGCCCAGGCCTTCAACTCACAGTGTTCCTGATAGATATGTGTCTATCATCTCCACCCATCCCTCCCTCCCTCCCTCTTCCCAGACAGTCTTCATGGCTCAGGCCTTCAACTCACAGTGTTCCTGATAGATATGTGTCTATCATCGCCACCCATCCCTCCCTCCCTCCAGGACAGTCTTTATGGCTCAGGCTGGCCCTGGCTTTCAACTCACACCGTTCCCTCCACACCTCCCTGATCCTGAGGTTGCAGGCATGGGTCACTATGCCCAACTTCTGTCCTTCCCACCTGAGCATCACTCAACACGTGGCTGTCACGTCGGCTTCTTCTTTTGGAGAGCAGTTCCTCCTCCTGTCTTAATTCACTGGCTGTTCCACAGACAGCTGAAGAGCACAAGGTGCTTCTGCGAGAACAGTGGAACTGACAAGGCCCACTCCTTCTGTGGCACTGCTTATTTTCCCTCCAAACTGCTTTTTCCCTGTCACTTTCAAATCCCTATGTTTGCTCACCTTCTTTTCTCTGGTAATCTAATTATCTCTTTCTTGAGAAGCAACTTTTTTCTTGAAGGAATTGGAATTGTCACAGGAACCTGAGCGGACTGCCTTTTATGCATTCGGTGAAAGCAGATGATGGGTGAGCTTTAAAAAGCTCGTCTGGGCACCATTCTGAGCGCAGTGAACTCTACTCCACACAGCTCTGCAGGAGACGGGGAACCTAGACAACAGCTGTCAACACCGAGCTTCCGAATGGCAAAGGCTTAGCTGTTTGGTTGCCTCTAGACATTGCTGTCTGTGCAGGCGTCCACACCCCAGAGCTGAAGGCGCAAGGGGACTCGGGCGAAAGCCACAACCCCCTGCTAGTCTGAAACTTTCTGTCAATTTTTGGAATGGCTTTATGAAAACAAATTCTGAATTTGGTTTATACACACTCCAATGTTTCCTACTGAAAAAAATTTCTTCAAACAGGATGAAGTAGCAGACACCTAAAATTCCAGTATTCTGGAGGCCGAGGCAAGAGGACTCTGCCGTCAACTCTGAGGCCAGCTTGGGCTACATAACCAGACCCTAGATAAATAAAATGAATACATGGATGGGGGAAGGGAGGTAATAATTGGAGATGTGTTTTGGATGGGAAAGCCAACTCAGATTGAAACGGACAAGCTGCACACCCTCTGAAACTACCACAGAATAGACTAAAATCCAAGAATTCAATTTAGAAACTAGCTGCCAAAGCAGTTTTGGAATTAGGTTAAGTATTCAGAACACTGAAATTTAGTGTATTCAGAGGAAAAAAATGATCAAAAACCCGTGGAAATTTAAAGTGGAACTAGAAAAAGATCTCACACACACACAGAGAGCAATGTAATTAAATCATTAAACTAGCAACATAAGCTAGGTACATTTCCACCAAAACAGTCATCAACAGTGCATTTAATAGGTCAAGGCAAACACCAAAAGCTGGACAATACAGTGATGTTTTGTTGAGACCCCACCATTTTGGCTCCCTCTAATGAGGTATTTGCAGAAGTTTGTTCACATTTGAACGCAAGTTCTTTCATAGGAAAACGAGGGTGACCACAAGGAAAACCCACACATGCCCTGCCCCAACTTCCCCGTTGTTGTAACAGCTTCCACACTTCATTCCCCTCAACGGTCACATTACTAAATCGAATGTGTTTACTGTTTTATTTTGGGGGAAGGGATTCTGAGGACTGACCCTACATGAGCTAAGTACAGCGCCCTACCAATGAACTACACCCCCGACCTGTATGGCGACTTTCAAGGGTGACAACTCCAGGCTTGACCTGCAGAAAGTGCTGGCTCCAGAAGACAAGGAAACAACTAAAACCTCAAAACAAACGAGTTGAAACTGCCAGAGCAACATGGAAATTATTTAACCATAAGCACCAGTTCCTTGCGAAGTGGTTCATTTAGCCCAAGTATTTGGAAAAACTTGAAAGACATGGGTAAGTTGATTCATCTTGATACACTTTTACTTACATTTTTTCTAAACATTAGTGTGTAGCGATTCTCTCCTTCCAGCACTCAGGTCAACAGGCTTGGTGAGCCATCTCAACAGCCTCTGCCCCAACACACACCTCTTGATTCTGAAATGAACTCAAGGAAACAATTTTCTTCTATTTTCCTCCTCTCTTCCCTTTCCTTCTTGGTGTTTTTGAGACGCGGTCTGGTCTTTCTAGAGCTCAACCTGGCCTCACATTCAAATCTCCCCGCCTCGCTTCCTTTAGGGTCTGACACTCGGTTCCTCTCACTCACTTGCAAATGTGCTGGTATCAGACCCCGTCCCACTCAGCCCGCACATGCTCAACTGTCCAACTTTAAACTTACAGGCGGCAACTGCAAGCCCTCAGTGACTGCCAGCGCCTAGTGACCGTGTCAGCGCGCTCAGGGGTTCCTATCCTAATCCACAAAGGAGTCAGCCCCACCCTGAAAGTGCTCCTGATGCTTGTGAGGTGCCTCCAGGATGAGCCCTGATGACACTTCATACTTGAGTACGCTTAAGGAAACTACTCACCAACTTTGGCAGTAAAGAGCTAAGTTAGTACCCTACATCTTGAAAACTCTCTTTGAATGTAATCTTCATAGTCTTTACATTTTAACTGTCATTGTTTATTACTGTTTGGCTACATTCTCTATAATTCCAGCAGCATCTTAAACAAACAATGTTGTCTATGTACAATGGGGGGGGGGGGGAAACAAAGAACAAAAAACAAAATGGCTTGCAACATCAAGTAAGAGCCACAGTTTAGCTGAACACGTTAAAGGGCATTTGGTAGGGAAAGCCTGTTTTCTGCACCGTGGACAGCTCACGTGGAAGTCTCAGCATTATGACTGTGACAATAAAGAAAAACAATTCCCTACAAGAATGAAATACAGCATCCTGAAAAATATTGGTTTCTACTACACAAGGCAGTTAGAAAATGTTCACATTTTAACAAATCTGTACAAACCACAAGAAACATTCTATGGGACTGTGATCCCACCTTGATGCTAAGAGCTTTCTAGAAATGTAGAATAACCATGAACAATTTATAAATCTAGTATCTATGTGCTCCACAGCTCTAGAACCTAAAAGACTGATTTAAAGAACTCAATATGCCTAACATGGATCATTTCACATGCCTTGATTGTTAATGAATGCCTGCTTTTAATATCTCTCTATGATGTACAGTCAACTTGTGCCTTCAAGGAGGTCATTCAATTTTTTTTTTAGCAAAAAAGCAATATCATTTAGCAGCAATTAAAGCGCCTTCAAGAAGACTTAAAAAAAATACAATATCCAATTAGAAAAGCCGTATTTTTAAACATTTGTACAAGAATAAGCTGCTGAAACTCAGTAATTGTAATATGACATCTGTACAGTAATTTACAATAGAGCCAGAAGGGAATTTATCATCATCCTGCATAGAACTGGCCTGCTTTGGGTTACACAGTCTCCTATTTTAATGAACGAGGCCTGGAAACAAAAGAAAAATGCCTGTTAATTCTAAAACACTGAAAGCCCTGGAAATACTATAATTTAGTAACTTTAACTGATTTGAAATAGGCAGCTCTTTGTGTTAAAGGTGTAAAGTGTCCAGAAATGACAGCTCTCCCTTTAACACAACCAGTTAAGGGGGGATGGGGGTGCGGCGGACCACGGATTTGTGATTCGAGGTACAACTTGGTAAAAGCCAGAATAGGCAAATGACAAAGTCTGTAACTGTCCAAAACCCTAATTCTCACATTCCGTTATAAAACACACCGGCCGCTGTCACTCCATTCTCGCTTTGGTTTCTGCAGATGAGCTGCCGAGTGCTGACGCTGTACCAGGCCCTGTAGCTCCCGTCTTAGAAATGTCTCATAATTTTTCCATGTGTTCTTAAATAATGAAAAACTACCCTTCATATGAGAACTCTCTGGTAACAATCAAATATATTTAGGCATTATAAACGTTATTTACAGTGTCCTCCTTCTAGTGTAACATGGTGTTCCTGTGTCATGCTGCTCCAGGAGCATGAGGAGTACGCACTCAGCCACTGTCCATGATCCACTCTCACACAAGTGACTCCAGGGAGAGCTTTAGTTCACAATCGCTTCTTAACCATGTCCCGTGGAAAAACAAAAACAAAAACACTCAAATGCACTCAAATTCAAGTAGGCATCTGGAAGCCAATCAAAGAAATCATGCCACTGTTGGAGGAGAGTCAGTAAGTAATTATGCTTGAAGAAGGAGGTGTGGGAGCTGCTGCCAGCCCAGACATGTGTAGGTTTCCTGAAGAATTTGATCTTCTCATGTGTGGCAGAAGGTATGGGTCATTTGCCAGCTGGTGTACATCAAATCGATCTTCTTTTCGGTAAGCCAAACAGCGTCTTATGAAGGCCTTCAAAAGACAGAGAGGGCAACGCAAATGATCTTCTACCTTCTAAATACCAACCCAACTGCTACAGAAGCGAGGACACAGTTAAGACCATAAACAGAACACACTTTATATGAAGTTCAAACCTTAAGAACTTTTGGGGGTACGATGATATTTTCACTCCAATTTGAACCCTCCACTGTTACTTACTGGTGCCACATTATAGACTCAATTATTATTGCTTGAAAGTTCCATTTCTGCTTACACAATTCTTTATTTTTAATTTATTTTTTTATTTCATGTGCACTGGTGTTTTGCCTGCATGTCTGTCTGTGAGAGGGTATTGGATCCCCTGGAACTGGAGTTACGACAGCTGCCATGTGGGGGTTGGGAACTGGACCCAGGCCCTCTGGAAGAGCAGCCAGTGCGCTTAAACACCGAGTCATGTTTCTAGCCTCTAAAAAAAGTTCAAGATTTCTTTTGCGGTATTTTTCTTTTGTGAAACAATATTCTGACTCTAACTTCATTTTGTTATCATTTTGTTTGGCCAAATTGTAAGAAGCCTTAATTTCTTCTTCTTATTTAGAATGACTGTCTTTAGGTGAAGGTGAGATGAACATAGAGCACTCCAGTTAGGGTTTCTATTTCCTAGATCAACTCTGCATCTTTAGTTTTAAAAAGAAAGCTGGTCTACAGAGTGAGTTCTAGGCCAGCCAGAGGTACAGTGAGACCTTGTCTCAAAAATCAACAAACAACAAAAACCCACAAACCAACCCTCACACCCCAAAACCATTATGTTAAAATATATGTATATTTAAGTATATAATATGCTTATTAAATCATTATTTAAATTATCAAATTATTCTAACTACCAAGTAATGAGGTTCACACCTGAAATGCCAGCCCTTTGGAGCCTAAAACAGGAAGATTGCTGTGAGGGGACCAGCTTAGGTTATATTTAAGGCTGGCCTGGACTAGAGTGAGACCCTGTCTCAAACAAAACAAAACAAAACCAGTTGTGGCAACACAAACCCTTAATCCCAGAAGAGGTGGGCAATTCTCTGAGTTTGAGGCCAGCCTGGTCTACACAAAGACCTTGTCTCAAAAAACCGAAACAAAAGAAACAAAAACAAAAACAAAAACAACAAACTAAGAAAACACAATACAAAACCAAACCAATAAAGACTTAAGGGTAATTTCCAATAAAGTGTGAGTTCAGGAGGTCAGCATCTCTTTAATTTTAAAGGCAGCACTGACTGCAAACACCTTGTAGTGCTTTATTATTATTATTTGAGACACAATCTCACTATGCAGGCTGGACTAGAACTTGCAATGAAAATCAGGCTGGCCTCAAATTCAGAGCTCCATCTGCCTCTGCCTCACTGAGATCACAGCTCAGTGTTTCTATGGCCTGGAGTACAGCATTCTGTGGTTTCACCGGGATGCGCACAAATGAAGGAAAGCCGCTGGAAGCACATGCACTCGGTGTCACAGAAGGCTTCTTCTGAATGAGCTCTAGGTTTCAGGCTCTCACCAAGGAGACACACCCAGATTAGGAGTGGGTTTCTGAGAATGTGGACTCTCCTGAACTAAGTCCTGACTCAGTGCACCACAGCACAGAGAACAAGCTGTGATATCTGCTGTTGGCAGGAGAGCGCTGTGCTTGGCACAAGACTCTAAGCAAGGTGTTTTTGCCATGCTGTGGCTGATCTCTCACTTTACAAAAGTAAGTGTGCATAAAAGCACAAGACATTGCTGAGTTGGGCACAGTGGTGTGCAGCTGTAATCCCAGCAGAGGCAGGCAGATCTCTGTGAGTTCAAGGCCAGCCAGCCTGGTCTATAACGTGATTCAGGACACAGAGAATCCTTGTCTCAAAAAACCAAACTAAAAAACCAAAACAATAATAATAAATAAAAATAGTAGCTATTACACCTATTCTTTCTTATTAATACTTTTATTTTTCAAAATTTACTATTTTATTTGTATGAGTATTTGTCTACATGAATGTCAGTGAAGCATGTGTGTCCTGGTAGAGACAGGATGTCAGATCCCCTAGGACTGGAGTTATGCAGGCAGCGGTAATGTGTGAAGTTGCTGGGAATAGATGGGGTCTTCTGGAAGAGCAGCCAGTGCCTTAACCACTGAACCATCTCGTTAGTCCCTCTTTTTATATACGTAAGTATCTCAGCATAAGATGGGCAAACTGAATAAGACCTAGAAGTAATGAAGGGTTCAGATGTTGTGGTTTCTCCCTAATTTTCAAAGAAAAGCAAGCTGCTGTGCACACAGAACTCAGGAAGCATGTCTGAGTGCTTAAAGATGAAGAACAGCATATCCAAAGGCCGAAGCAGCCCATTTCCAGAGCAGATCAGCAGCCATGTTGCAGCAGCCATTCCTGCCATTGTGGCTAGCGAAGCACTGACCACACTGGAAACACAGCCCGTACACTCCACAAAACATTATGAGATTAATACCTTGGCTTCACTGCTTACAACTGGCTTTACAGGGAACTGGACTTCTGTGGCTTTTAGTATTGTGTTTTCCTGAAGAATGTCTTGTTGAGATTGATTGTGACCAAATGGCTTAAAAAAAAAAAAAAAAAGAATAAAATATTGAAATAAATATATAAAACAAAGAATCACCACCGAGCCCACCACAAAAATGATTTTTATTTTAACATCTTGTCCTCAGTTACTGGGAAGTTGGGAATGTGGTCTCTCAGAAACACCGTAATAGCTATAAGCAGGCTGGAAATGCCTATTCAGTCAGTTCTCAGCAGATAAGCCCTGTGATGGAGGAGAGAAAGGATCTAGATTTGGAGTCAGGAGACCTGGGTTTGGAATCTAGACCAGTCTGTTTTTAGCAACTTATCACAAGCTATAGCTTTTGGGAACTTCAACCGAGGAGCTGCCTCCATTAGGCTGGCCTATGGGTATGTCTATGGGGCATTTTATTAATTGATAACTGGTTTGAGAGGGCTAACCCTGGCCAGGTGGTCCTTGAGTGAACAAAAAGAGCTGGGTAAACTGAACAAGCCAGAGAAGTGCTCCTCCATGACCTCCTGCTTTGGTTTCTACCTCGGCTTCCCTTGGTGGTGGACTGTTGCCTTCAAACCAACCTATACATTCCTCCCTGCCTAAGTTGCTTTTGGTCAGGATGTTAATCTCAGCAACAGAATGCAGAAAAAGACAGTTTTTCTATGCTGCACATTTCTAGACCGGTTCTTCCACCACTGTCTCACAGTGATGGAGACTGGGTGGGATGCAAACTATACATTATCCATGACAACCTGCATTTATGATTTGGGAAAAATAGTTTGACGGCATTCTCTGAGGAGTTATAGGAGGAAATGGTACACAGACTGTATGTCTGCAGGGTAGTGGGGGTTAAGAGAAAGTGTAAGGAATAAAGGACACTGCAAAGTGCTTAACTCCAGAGCTGCCAACAGAAAATGTTTTGAAAAGGGAAAGGCTAAGGAAGAGGAAAGATGAACCAATCAACTGTCAAGATCATTCTGATCCAGGAAACAGTCAAGATACGTGCCTTGTCTTGGAAGTATCTAAACTAAGTCTAAGTTACCAAAATTTTGCATGTCAAAAAACCCTTCATCTTAACTTCTTTCCACACAGCTGAAGCTGGTGTGACACAACTTACTTTTCTCCCATAGAGACACTGGAAGAAGATGACTCCAACTGACCACACATCAACCTTGTTGGAGATCTTCGGCGGTTCTTTTCCAACTACAAAGCACTCAGGAGGTAAATACCTGTAAGTAACGGGGGGGGGGGGGGGGAGAAGAAGGATGTAATATTTAGTGTAAACCCTTCTAAATCTTAGAATGTTTATTTTATTTATACATAACCTCAGTTATGTAAAAACCATCAGTTCAAGTTTTCATTCATTTCACTCCAGAACCAAAATACAACTTTGTAAGAACACATATTTCTATCTAAAGTAAACATTATCATTAGAGACCATGACAGTATGATCTGAGTCAGTTTCTAATAACAGAAGAAACACTCTCCTACCAACTCTTCCACTCTCCTCGGCCAGTTTAAACTGCAGGCAGTTCTAAAATACACATCATACCAGAGATCTTTTGTTTAAGCCAAAGCTTTACCTATCCCCGTGAGAAAGGATATCCTATCTCTTACTGTACCGTCAGACCTATTCCAATCCACAATCTAGATTTCAAAATCTGCAATCATTATTTCCCTTTCTTCCCCGAAGCTGGTTAGCCAGGGCCAACTCACTCACCTCTGCACGTGAGCTTTCTCTGTTGCCGCCAGGAGAACATGGCTTCCTCCCCTGTGCAGGGGAGACTGGTGTGCTCCATCTGCAGAAGCACTCAGCTCTCCTCGCACTAGACTTCAAGAAGTGCAAGGGGCTCTGGTTTATTGTGCAGTTTCGAGCACTACCCGTCGGGGTGTGAAAAATACCAAGTATTCAAAGACTAATTTTTAAAATTTAAAATTGTTGTTTATAAATTCGTATTTTGATATATGAAAGGTAAAAATCAGAGATGCAAGCATCTCAACTCAAAACTTTAATTAAAAATCATAATAACAAATAATATAGTTAGTTAACCATGCCTCATGTAATATTCAGTTGTACACTATGCCAAAAGGTGTCTCTATGTATGGCTGAAAGGAACATGGCTCTTGAATGTGCAGGCATCTCTCCACCCCAAGGACAGCAATTGTGTAGGTGACAAATTTGACTGCACTGCACAACAGTAAGTGGGGGGAGGAATAATAATGTTGTCAATATCATTTTTCCTATGAGATATTGACAAAAATTGCTTCTAGAGATGAGAAGTATTTTATAAGAGCAATAATGTATGTTCTAAAAGAATAATCCCAGTCCCCAAATATCTTCTGTTACTGTTGTTGAAACAGGTCTCACTACATAGCCTTGGTTGGCCTAGAACTCATTCTGTACACCGTAGGCTGGCTGATAACTATAGAGATCTCTACCTCTACCTTCAAGGGCTGGGATTAACAGTGTGACCCCATATGGCCTAGAAATAAGTCCTATGTCTCTACACAAGAGCACCACGACTGTTGTCCTACACAGGCCCTAAAACAAGATTTTCTGACTCAGGTCCACCTGTGAGAGAGCCATTTCCTCCCACTGTCCACAACAGTGAAGTCACTGCGACAGAGAAACCAACGTTCCTTCTCTACAGAGAAGGAATACTTTTTGTTTACTATAGGAAAATAGGAATTTTGTTGTAAAGACAGCTTTGTTCTTAACAAGTCTAAACAACTTCCAATTGAGATTATGAACTTTTTTCAAAGATTAAAATTTTGAGTGACAATTTTCTACACTGTGAAAGCAGTAACTTCATCCTTCTTTTGCACATACCACATTTAGGCAATACTTTCATGTGACTTGCAGATATTCCACAAATATGACTAATTCTTCTTCAGGAAAAATAAATTCAGAGTGGATCTGACCAGCTCAGGGGAATGGTCAGCATGGGATTGAGCAAACTCGGTGAGGACTGCCCTGGGCCTCAGCAGTCACTGTTGAGGTATCTACAATCCTGTTCAATCGAGTAGTATGTAGATCTCTTCTGATAAAATCTACCTTCTTGCTAATCTCATTTATTTTGAGGACTGGGTTAATTTTGAAAATGTTAGTCTATAACTTGACAGTAAGTTTGACAATTCACTGCCGTGGATTTTGTAAACACCCAGTGTCTGGTTAGTTTTATGTCAAACTGACGTCAACCCAATGCAAGCTCAAGTCACCAGAGTTTGGGTTCTTGCCCTGACTTTCCTCAGTGATGAACAGTGATAGGAAAATGTAAGCCAAACAACCCCTTTCCTTCCGTTTTTCAGTCATGGTGTTTTATCACAGCAATAGTAACCCTAACTAAGACACCTGGAGAAATTCAGGATGACTTTTGTATCCAGGAATTGGTTCCATCTAGATTTATAGCTACATAAGGAGATCTTTGAGAATTAAGTGTAAATACTACAAATATGCTGAGTTTATCTATAATCTAAAACTAAAAAATTCTGTATCTGCTATAAAAACTTTGATCACAAAACATCTACAGGCAAGGTCTGAGGCTCACAGTTGTTCTTGTGACAGTCAGGACTGCACCCGCGAAAGTACTTATTCAGATCAGAAGCATCACTCAACGCCCTAGAAGAAACCTCATCAATTCTGTTCCACACTAGGAGTTTCAGGCTGATACACGTTAAAGTCACATGTGGCTGCCGAGCCATTCTTTTTTGCAGTTTTCCATCTTTGTAGGAAGGAATGCAGAGAAGAGAATACTAGCCACAAGACTCTCTCTCTCAATTCCAAGAGTTAGTATGAATGCCTTCAACACAATAATCTGAGAGAAGATCTGAAAATAAAATGTTCATAAAACACTGGGAACTGATCATGGGCTTGCTGTGTTTATTAACACATTTACCAGTAAGTGCCTGCCCCTTGGGAAGTCAGGTCCATTCCATCAACACCATAGCTATCATCGTCCATAATCTTGGACAGACCAAAGTCAGTGATTTTGATTTCTCCACATGCTGTTCCATCAACTAGAAGGATATTTCCTAAAACCAAAATAGAATTATTTTTAGTAATGCATATGCAGGCATGCAGAGGAAAAATGATTAAAAAAAAAAAACATGGAAATTTTAAGTGGAACTAGATAAAGAGCTGATGCATGCACACACACACACACACACACACACACACACACACACACACACACACCATATCCATGAGCGAAAAGATAATTTTTATAAAAAAGAGTAGTGTTTAGAAAATAAATGTGTATTTGGGGACTGGTTATTATGGTACATGCCTTTAATCCCAGCACTCAGAAAGCAGAAGGTGCCTCCCTCTAAATTCCTCTGCCCAGGCTATCTAGTGAAACACTGTTACAAAAATCAAGCAAAAAAGCAAACACAATCTCTACCTCTCCCCTCCCCATCCCCACAGAAACCCAGCCCCATACAACGCATTTCCTGAAATACCTGGCTTCAGGTCGTAATGTATTATAGGAGGTTTGATTTCATTGAGATACCGCAAGGCATTCACAATCTGCATCACGATAGACCGAGCTTCCTTCTCAGACATCAGCTTGTGCTGCTTCAGGTAGAAGTCCAGGTCATTGCCCTCACAGTACTCTAGCACTGTACAGAACCTACACAGGAAGGGACAGTCAGCAGGAGCCCGAACCACCTGAAACCTACTCTGGCAAAGGGGAAAATCATTATCCACAACTGAAAATCCAAAGAGAGATGAGAATATCTGCACCACCACCACAGGATCAGAAACAAAACCAGTATTCCCAAGGGTTGAATCTTTGTTTACTTACGTATCTGTATCCAAAGAGAAGTAATCATAAAGTTTAACTATTCTGGGGTGGTCCAGTTCTTTGTGTATTCGATATTCTCTGCAGGCATGTTTGTGGTAGTTCTCTTTTTTCTCGTCTCTCCAGCTTTTATTAAGCTGGTGGATCTTCACAGCAGCATATCTTTGCTCATATAAGTCAAACGCCTACAATTCAAGGCAAAACCATCACAAGGCACTCAAACACTACAAAGACTTATTTTTTGGTGATAATTTTTGCAATAACTAGTGATCATCTCTGAGACTATATACAGTTCAACAATATACTATTTAAAAGAAATAACAATATACTTAAAAGAAATAAGATAGAAATATCATTGCGATGAAGCAGAAAAATAAAAACTCCATGTGAACTTTCACATTCAAGTTCTTTAAATGCTTATATTTTGAATCACAATAAAGCAGTTTTGACACTAACATTCTTTTTAATATGAGCCTGCTCCTTTACACATGCAGTTCTGTAGGGAACAACTAGTAACACAAGCAGCTATGATGGTTTTCTCTGTGTTGGAGAAAAAAAGCATTCTTTTAAATATCTTTTCTTAGCAACTCCTTGCTTTTTACTTTTGTGAAAATTAATAGGTTCTTTATTATATTATTATTATTATTATTTTTTTGGTTTTTCGAGACAGAGTTTTTCTTGGCTGTCCTCAAGCTCACAGAGATCCGCCTGCCTCTACCTCCCCAAGTGCTGGAATTACAGGTGTGTGCCACAGCGCCCAGCTTGTTTTTTGATGTTAAAGTTGTTTTTATTTTGTGTGTATGGGTGTTTGCCCCTGTTATCTGTGACTTCTCCGTGTAGTGGCTGCAGAAGACAGAGATGTCATGAGGACAACTGAAACAGAAGTCACAGATGGTTGTGAGCTGTCCATGTGGGAGCTGGAAATCTAACCTGCGTCCTCTGAAAGAACAACCAGTGCTCCTAACTACCGAGCCTTCACTCCAGCCCCAATTAGTAGGTTCTTAATAATTTTTCAACTACTGAATAAAACTTCTTTCATTATGAAACTGCTCAATTTATACTCAGGAGAAAGAGCTTAATGAATGTTTATGCACCCATCATCCAGTTAAAAAATGTTAGTATTTCATCTGTCCCCTCTACCATGTTAGCATCCCCTTAGGGTGAGATAGTGTGTGACTCTAAACCCAGGGTGTTATGCTCCTGCTCCATTATCAACCACCTGTAGCCACCTGACTTACTCCCCCTGTAATGTTTAAAAAAAAAAATAGGTAATTCGTCAATGTTTATCTCTAAAAGATAAGGTCTTAAAAACCCCTGCACATATCATCACATCTAACTATATCAATATTTCCTAATCTAATCTGGCATACAGTCTGCATTCAATTTCCCCAACTGTCTCTCCTTCACTCCCTCAAAATACTGCTCAAGTCACCAGCCCATTTCATAAAGAACAGGAATGTGACTGGTACTTAAGTTTCACATAATTTAAAAGTGTTCCAAGCCTTTCATTTTATTTTAGATGCCCTCCATGTGAGCTGACTGATAAGTATATAAATATTTATCTCTATGTAAACAAGTTCAGGTGCCTGCAGTGGCCTGAGGTATCAGATCACTCTGAGCTGGAGTTACTTTCAGGCAGATGCGAGCTCTCCAACAAGTGTGTTTGAGACTGAACTCAGGTCCTGACCTTACTGTGGAGCCATCTCCCCAGCCCCATAAATGTTTTAAACACCAAATGCTGTTGAAGAAAGCCTAACAGTTTGTTTCATTGTGACTTACAAGCAAAGATGCCCCTTTAAAAAGCACTGGGTAATTTACACGTTTATTAAAAAAGGTCTCCAGGGCCCCTACCTTCCTAGCTTACGCAGAGAGAAACTCTTTGCTAGTTAGCTTCACTGTCAGTCCAACAGAGCCCAAAGTTATCTGAGGGACTCTGCAATGGAGATGGACTTGGTCAGACTGGCCAGGGGGCAGTGTCACCTCTGAGCATGTGGTCTTGGACTGTGTAAAAAAGGGTGCGTGCAAGCCAGCGGATCCAAGCCAGTAAGTAGCATTCCTCCACAGCTTGCTTCCAGTGCCTGCCTTGAGTTCCTGCTTTGATTTCCCTCAGTGTAGGACTGTGACATGTGACGTGTAAAATAACTGCCCACCCCCCAACTTCTTTTGGTCATGATGTCTATCACAGCAAGAGGAAAACTAGAATAAAAAGAAAAGTCTTAATGACAAAATTATAAAAATGTGAGATCAACACAACAGAGGAACCAGGCAGCTGAGAAGAGGGAGACTTAGTGTGGGTGGCAGCACGTTCTTGCAGCCTGTCTTACATTTAGACAGAATGGCTGAGAGGACCAAATGAGGACGGTGTAGCTGCAAGGACACAGCCTAGGCCCTGGAGGGAAGTCAACAAAACCCACAGTAAGTTGTTTTTTCTAGTGAGACTAAGAATAAGTCAGTCTAAAACCAGAAAAGAAAAGCCCCCCCTCAATCAGCATGAAGAACAAAGAGCAGTACCTTATAGACCTCACTAAAGCCTCCTCTTCCAAGCAGATGAAGCAATAAGTATCTTTCATTTAACGTTGGATGATCTTTGAACCTTAAAAGGGCAGGGAAAAAACTATTCAGGAACATTAAAGGAATACAAGAAGTTCTGTATACATTAATGCCCATTCTTTTTTTTTGTTTGTTTAGTTTGGTTTGGTTTTGGGAGACAGGGTTTCTCTGTGTAGCCCTGGCTGTCTTAGATTCGCCGGCCTTGAACTCACAGAGATCCACTTGCTTCTGCATCCCTGAGTGCTGGGATCACAGGAGTATGCTTAATGCCACTCTTGACTCTACTCCTAGCTATGTCTATTTCAGTTAGTTTGCTGTTGATTTCAAATGCTATTCACTCAGTCTTTCTACATAATATCGACCTATGTTAAGCTCCAAAACTTACAAAGTGACACTACAATAGCTAGCCACACAGCACTCTAACAATTAGGTGATGGGAAACACTTATTCCTCATAAACCACTTCTATGGCAAAAACACACTTCTATAATGAGAGTAATGAAGACAGGCGTGGTGCTGCATGACTGTAATCCCAGAGTGACAGGTGGATCTCTGTGATTTCAAGGCCAGCCTGGTCTACAATGCGAGTCTAGGACATTCAAGGCTACACAGAGAAACCCTGTCTCAAAAAACAAACAAAAACCAAAAAAAAAGAAAGAGATAAGAAGAAAGGAAAGAAGAAAGAAAGGAGAGAGAGAGAGAGAATGAAAGAAAGAGTAATGAGTGATCAAGCTTTTATAGTGCTGACTTGTATTTATTTATCAACTGGCCTTTGTTCATGGTTAGATCGTAGTGTCTTTGGACTTATAACAATCGTTCTCAAGTAAAGTGCCCTACAGTTACTAATGTGTACCGCACCTGCTACATATTAAGTTACATAAGGTCATCTGTTTAGTTTTCACCTGCTCCTATGAAGCAAAGCCTGCCGCTGTGTCTGTGTCACAGGTGAGAGCCTGCTGCTACACAGAAAGTCAGACTGAGCACACTGTCTGCACAAGTTTAACGGTGATTCATGGAAGGGCTTCGTAGAAAACAGTTTCCAAAATGTACACTCTGACAGCAACAGCTTTAAAATACCAGCATAATATACCGCATTCGTACAATTTTACTGAAAATCAGCTGAATATGTTTGTTAAGTTTCTCCTGAAAAACTGTTGAAAACAAAGAGATTTTTGCTTAGACTAGGTACACTGTAAAACTGTAACAATTTGCTTTCTTATATTTTTAAGCCATAGGCACAAATACTGTACTTAATTTTCAAAGTAAGTTAATTTTAAATTAGTTTTATTCTATTTGTTTGAATCTGGTAGAATTTAGGATGTTCTCTATTATTTAATTTCTCTCACATGCTAAAAGATCTGTGTTTATGAATTACACATTGACAGATGATCACAAAAAGGCCTTTCTCTAAGCAAGGCATTCCCTTTTCACATGAGAAAATATATATTAAGTCACGAAACTTTAAATTACATTGCTAGCCTTAAAGATCAAGCACTGACAGATACATTTCTCTCCTACACACTAAATGAAAATCTGGTAAACTTGGGATCTTTTTGTTGTTTTGTTTTGCGTTTTATTTGAGACACGGTTTCTCTGTGCAGCCTTGGCTCACTTTGTAAACCAGGCTGGCTTTGAACTCACAGAGCTCTGCCTGCCTCTCCTCCCCAAATGCTAGGATTAAAGGTACATGCCATCACTCCTGGCCACATGGTGGACTCAGTGGTAGAAGTCTAGCCTGGCACAGCTTATTTTCCTATGTACCACTCACAGTACCCATTCTGATAATTAGATTTAAACCAGAGACTACAATTTCTAGTTATTTTCCATTTCTCCTTATAGTGTATGATCCTAGATACATAACTTAAATAATTTTCCTTGATTCCTATAACATTAATTTTGACAAGTCAAGAAATATTTATGAGGTGCCTACCATGTAACAGACATTGTCCTAGGTTTGATGGTACAAGGAGATCAAAATAATCTTGCTCAAGAAGCTTACAAGTTAGGGGGAGGTGATAAATAACTAAAAAATAAACTATAATCCCAGATACTGATAATCACCATGGAAAATTAAAGAAAGACAATGACAGGGGAAGTGAGGTGAAACACAGAGCTCTCTGTTTAGGCAGAATTGGTATGAAATAAAAAGAAAGTCACTCAGCTATTCAGAAAGGAGTATTTCAGGTGGGAGAATGAGCTGGGATGGAGAAGCGTCTCTGAAGCAGATCACACAGGCATCCAAGCTGGTAGATAGGAAAATGTTTATGTTCTTTCTTTGTGGAGGGGAAGGAGGACTCCTGTCAGGTACAGCTGTGATGACTTACTGTGAATTGTCCTCATTGTTTATTCTCTTGAGCTCTCGTATGTGAAGATTCCTTACTCTTTCCAAACGTTCCAGTTCTGCCTGGATTTCAGCCTCTTCCTGAAGATGAAAAGAAGAAACTATAACAAGCTCTGTTTGTGATATAAAAACATATTTTCCCATGTAAAATATTTTATCCATTTTCACAGTGACAAGAACAACAGTGTATTACAAAATGCACCTGAGATAGAAGACCAGTGTGGTCTCTCAGTGCCTCAGAGACTGATGAGCAAAAGGCCTATTGGGGGAACCACCCTCCACCCAACAAGTGCACCTAATGAACGCCCAAATTTATTCTGTATCCTGAGTGACTGACTGTAAGGCAGTATGAAGCTGGCTCATCACACAAATGGATTCCCAAATCTTAACTTACGAGAAAAAATTACTAGCACAAAGCAAATGAAGGTATTTCTATAATCATTAGGGAATAAGGCAGCTGCTAGAACCTTATAAAATCTGGAATACATATACACTCTTTGGATAAATCCCTATAATCTTTACAGACAGATACAAATGTGTCAAATTTGATAGAATTTTCTAGAAATGTCCAATTTAATAAATATTTTGAATAAGAGTCTTTGTTGAGTAAACAAACACAAATTATGGCAGTATATTATGCATGTCCTATAATTACTAATCTGTTGTACAGAGCATAAACTGGAAGTAATTTCTGAATATTACAGTTGCACTTCCTCTCTTCCGTGGGCTCCTTTACTTCTCCCCTGGCATTCACAGCACCTCTGACTAGGAAGTGATGGTCCACATCTGGAATTCCAGCACATGAGAGACTAGGGCAATGATGATTACGAATTTGAGTGTAGTCTGAGAGATATTTATAGAAAGACAGGGGAGAAGCAGACAGACAGACAGACAGATAGATAGATAGATAACAGATTGATAATCAGAGATAGAACCCTTAATCTAAAAATATCTTCTGAACAAAATCAAATAGTGACACATAAAAAAAAATTAGATCCAGGGCCTGGTGACCTTATCATCCTGGGGGGGCCTGTGTAGAACTGTCACAAGTTGTCTTCTGACTTAACCCCCCACAATGCCATAGACTTTAAAAAATTAAATCTAAATATGTTTAAACTCCATGTGACTATGAAAATTGCATCTTTTTCTTCTTCCGTCCTCGGCCCCTCTCTCCCTGTGTGTGTGTGTGTGTGTCTGTGTGTGTGTTCAGTTGTTTTAAGAAGCCCTCACTAGGCTCCCACATCTGAATTAGCATCCTTTCTTAGGCCTCTGGAATGTTGGATTCAACAGGCTAGAAACCTGACCACACCTGAACATTTGCTATTCTTCAATGTAATTCAATCACTAGTTTTCACAGAGGTAGATGATACAGATTAGGTATTTTATGACAAATGTAAACTATCAGGATAAATAAGTACAAATCTAGAGTTTCTGAAAGGTTTTCTATTTCAATCTGTCTTTTCTGTTGGTACTGGAGGGAACACAGTTTGACAGGCAGGCATTTTAACCCTGAGCTACACTCCTAGCCTTTAGGCTTTCTTCAGTGATAGTCATCATTGAAGCCACAGCTTCAGTCATATTTTATTTTATGTGTGTTATGTTTTTTTAGTGTGTTATGTAACAGGCTCTTATTATATATTTTAGAATGGCCTCAAACTTAATCTTCTGCTTTAGGACTCCGGCACTCCAAATATCCCAAGTGCTAAGAGCAACATCATTCATCAAAGACTCAATGTACAAACAAAAATTGAATTTAAAAGCTTTAGAACAATAAATATGTAATATAGCTGTCTTAATTTTGTCATATAAGATAGAAAAAACTAGCCCTTTAGATAGGTAAATAGTAAAGCTTACATTTTAACTCCAGACCGTAGAAGAGGTTGACTGTTCTCTTCACATGACTAGCATTTAGTAGGCTAGGAAAAGTTCAAAGGGTCTGATAAAATACATTAAGCCTATCAGAATGGCAACTAGAATACCTGCTGCAATTTTACTTGGAATTGTCACATGGGGATACAATTTCGATAGTATATTTCCAGAAATTTAGTTTTTTTTAATTTATTTTTTATTTATATTTATGTGTATGGTTGTTTTGTCCACATGCCTATCTGTGTACCACAAGCATGCCTGGTGCCTGAAAAGGCTAAAAGCAAGCATCGGATCCCCTGAAACTTGAGTAGCAACCAGTTGTGAGCCACCATGTGGGTGCTGGGAATTGAACCCAAGTCCTCTGGAAGAGCAGCCAGTGCTCTTAACCATTGAGCCATCTCCCCAGCCCCAGAAACTTAGTCTTAACTACAGAATTACAAGAGTCATGGAGATTGGCGAGCAGACTACCACTTGTTTTATAGTCTTCAGGTATTCATACAATAGAAGTAACCAACACTGTAAAGTTTCTAAAAGAAGCGTGAACTATATTTCCACCTCCCATGGTGGAAACTTAGTAATTCTTAAACCTCAAAACAAAGGACATATTCTAGGGGAAATACAATTGTGCAACTTTAATAATTTCTCCCCAAATTTCACTGAGAAAAAGTATATTGTTATAGAGTAAATATTTATGTTTTCCCTCAAATTCATACACAGAGGCCTTACTTCCTAATATTATATCTGGGTCTTTGGTACATATCAGGGTTAGGAGGAAGGCAGGGAGATGGTGTTTCATACTGTGCTTATGAAATGAGATCACTGCCTAACAAGATCCATACCCCAGACCATGTGGAAACTAGAAAGAGAGTCCTCACTAAAACAAAACACCACTAATCCCTGATCTACACTCCAGAACTAAGAAAACGCATTTTCGTTGCTCAAGCTACCAGTCTGGTACTTGGCTGTGGCAACCCAACAAAGTATAAACATTTTTGAAGCCAGTGGTTCCCAACCTCCCAAATGCTGCAACCCTTTAACACAGTTTCTCACGAGGTGGTGACCCTAACCATAAAGTTGTTTCATTGTTACTTCAGAACTGCAACTTTGCTACCGTTATGAATGGTGATATAAATATCTGATCTGCAGAGTATCTGTTTGGGGTCATGACCCACAGGTTGAGAACCACTGTTTAAGCAAATGCTAGAGGCAATACTGTCCAATAACCTCTTCTCATAAGAAAGGGTGTGGCCCAGCTGTATTACCGTTCCAGGATTCTCAACAACTATTATCTTCTGTCAGATAGCTTCCAAAGGTCTGTTCTATGACATTAGTCTTTTTCAGTGGGTTCAGAAGTGAGGATGATCTGAGTTCACAATTAATCACCATAGAACAGCATCCTCAAACTCCCCAAAACAAAACAACAACAACAAAAACAACCCAGGTCTAATTACTAGAATAAGAGAACCTAACCAACTACTACATTTCACTGGGCACAGTGGCACACACCTTAGTCAGAGCCCTACAGAGGCAGAAATAGGCAGATCTCTGAGTTCAAGGCCAACCCGAACTACAGAGCAAGCTTCAGGCCAGCCAAGGCTGCATAATGTGATCCTATCTCAAAAATAAATGCACAAAGTTATTATTTTTGATCAACTACTATAGCGAACCAGTCATTTAAAGCAGAAAGACTCTTGAAACAAAGATATTTCTGGAAATGAAATGGTCTCTGTAGGCAGTTATAGAGTGGAAGAAACGTCAGTAAGAACAGATTGCATTCAAGAGTGGTGATTTGGTGATTAAACACAAAATAAAAGGACATGGCTCCTAAGCCAAAAAAAAAAAAAAAAAAAATTTAACAACATATACCACAATGGTTCTTATTACCTTAAAACATCTTTTTATATTCTGATATTCATCACAAAAAGTCATTAAAAAGCAGATCTCAATACTGCCTCATTATATGACCCTCAAAATACTACTTTCCGATATTTTTAATTCATGTGAAGTCCAATGGCCACTTCATCCAAACATTTTGTCTCTCAATATATCTTCAGCAGAAAAATGAGTCTTATTCAGAATTAGTCTCTTCTGACAACATACTATCCCCTGGTTCATGAGTTTTATCATGTTCACTCCAGTCTCTTGCCCCCCAACTCCTGTCCTTCTATTCCCTTTTAATTCATGACTTCTTTAATTACACACACACACACGCACACACGCACACACACGGAGGGAAATGGAATCATCTACTTCAAATGCACCCTTATCATGTAGATATGGGATATGAGCCAACAGCTATTACACACAGAGCACATCTGACTTTGTCTCAACTGCCACACTCGAGTGTGACTGTGTAGACAGCAAAGGAGGAAGAAGACACAAAGCTCTGGAATTCATGTCTACTTTCTTCTCTAACCACACACATCTTCTTTCCATTCTATTTCCTATTTGAAATCAGGACATCTGCCATCACTGAAAAAACAAAAGGTATCTTTCCGAGGTGTGTTTACCTTAGCTACTTCACCTCCAAACTCTACTGTTAATGTTTATCGATGTCTTCCTCCTCCCTCACTTAATTTCCTCCTAAAACAGAAGTGTGTGGGAGTGTGGAGTGTGTGTGTGTTTCACTCTCCCTTCAAAGGTACATATAAATGTATATATATACACACATATATGTATGTATATGTATGTGCATATACATATATATGTATGTACACACTGAAACTTTTAACTGGGCATGAATGCTACAGGACAGGTTTGCTCCTCTATAGGTTTCTCCATTTTACATAAACAAAGCAAAATCCTGTCTAAACTGCTGCAAATAAATGTAAGAATCCCAGTGACTGGCAAGTTGAAAGTATAATATTTAGTATTATTCTTCTATATTGCTGTGTATTATAAGGGCAAAGTCCCTTAAATACTGACCTGGGTGCTGTCACTGCCTAGCAGGCCCATGGTGAGTACAGTGTAGTCCTTTCTACTTTCCTACTTATGCTGAACCTTTTTCAGGATATTGGTGGCAGTATAAAAAGATTTAACTTTCTACTCAACAGTGGGAAGGAGTCAGCCTTAAGACACTCATGGTGTATGCACATGTAAATGGCATAGATTTATAGTCTGACTACACATGGTCAGTGGCTAAGAAATCGTACTCCTTTTGAAACAGTAATTTCTAGATTAAACAACTCTGCTGTTAGTGAGAGAAACTTGAT